AAGTTTGAATGGCTAGCTATGTTCACTGTCCTTATATAGCTTTATGATGAATGTATTTTTGCTCAATAGTTACTCTATGAAAACTTTCATTATTACTTTAAAACTGCAAAGTAACGACCTGCACATTATTTCGAATACGCCAATGTGCATTATTTGAATACGCACATGTGCATTATTTCTAGATTAAGTACCAATTTTCTAAGTCCTGCTTATTACTTATTTTATAAGTTTTCTAGTATGCATGATTTCGGGATACCAGTGGAGTTACTTAAAAAATTAAACATATTAACGCTAATTGTTTTACAATCCAACAATCACCTAAGTTAATTTTAAGTCTGTTCATTCATTGAACGATTCCTTTGTTATGACTCTTACTTTTTTAAAAACAAAAAATTAAAATTGCTTAATTATATAAATTTATTAATTTTTTCACAAAAAAAGATTCAACTTCATTAAATCATCCTAAATATTACCTTTTACAAAAAAATAGGTTTACCAAATACTGCTTTTAAAAAAGAACAGATTGAATAAAAATTAAATTTGTTAACAAATTCATTATAACAAAGCTCAGTTAAAATATTACAATATACATATTTTTGAATGTACAAATGACATTAGTTATAAAATGATGTGGAACATAATTACAATTTACATTGAACGGTCTCAATTATTACTGACGGTGTTAAAAGGTGCACCTACAACAATAAGAGCAATATATTTTAAAAGAAAAATAATTTATTTGTTGAGGTCTAAAACGATCACGCTTCACGTATAACTTGGAATGTGAAAAGGATAGTAAGATTTTTGGTAGTACTAATTAATCAAAGCTACTGTATATTAGTAATTCTACTATGATAGAATTTTTACAACAAAATTAAAATTTTGGATTGTTTGTCTCTCATTCTGCTGAACTAAATTACTATGAAGAAAACATGTGGGTTTTGCCTTTTCGCTATTGGGCGACCTACGCAGGTGTATCTAGAACCGTGCAAAATGCACCCTCTCTATTTATTTTATTCTATTCTTTGATATTATGGCTGTCGTCCCGACAGGTCATTAAATTCTATTAAATTCTATGTAACTGTCATCCCAACAGGCACAATTTACGGTTTTCACTATACAAGTATTCAGATCTTTCCATCTATCCATTCATATTGATGAATGTAATCCTGGCAGATCATACAAATCAGCATCACTCTAACTCGGGTAGGATCGATATAACCAGAACGAACGTAGTGTTTGCAGAGAAGACAAAATTGGTTACAATCAATCCCCATGCCTACTTATATACTATGATTAATTATTTACCTCACATACTAATGAATATTGACTCATACCAATTAAACATTAATCAATGACTGAATAACTAATTACCTCATACTTTCTTGTGACCTAATGATCAACTACCCCAACAACACCATAAAAAATTTTCGGTAACACAACATTTTGTACTACATACCGACCAATAGCATTTTACATACTCAATCACGATTTTTATACTAGATTTTAGCCAATAGTATTTTATATATTTTACTATATACTATCGATTATTATATACTGAAACATTTAACTTAGTGTTACATTTAGATCACTCGAGTTATCACTACGTATCGATTATTACATACAGAAACATTTAACTTAGTGTTACATTTAGATCACTCTACTTATCACTAGTATTTTAGTATTTAAATAAAGATATCGTTAGAATAAAAAAAAATTCTTTTCTTATAAAATGATTCCAATGTTTAATGGCTTATTCAAATATGATCGGTGTGATAAATGTTTTGATAAAGCTGCTTTTGTTAGTAAAACTGGAAAACCTACGAAAACATGTAATGAATGTCGGCAAAAAATTTTAAAAACTTACCATGCCATGAAGTCTAATGATAATCCACTTTATAATTTGAACCCTATTGAACCCAATGAAATGAAAAAAAAATTATTGGAATCCATTCTTGAAGTCAGAAATAATGAATTGTTGAAAATGAAAATTCTGGCATAGAGTTTTTGTGCAAAATATCTATTATTTCCTTAAAAAGTGAGTCTCATGAACTTGGAAAGACAATTGCCGAAATAGTAGGATCTGCTGATGGGTATTATTACATGTAAGTGGTATAATTATATTTGGAATTAACAAAATAATTTATTTATTAATAATTATATTATAGTTATCATATGGTTTATAAATCGGAAAAAAATCCTCATCAGTATACATTTTGGTATAATTGCTCCCAAAGTTGTACTTTAGCCAAACGTCCTCGAAAACATAAAGATCTTGATAAGCAACGTGATAGAGAATATATTGAATAATTTAATTGTACTGGTGTTCTAAAAATATTATAGATATGGAAATGAATGTATCAACAATTGATCTTTAGCATAACTTACTTTATAAGCATCTGGATAGATTTAACACATCTGATGATATTAAAGCTGAAATAAAAAAAAACCTTCATTAAATGCCCGCAGATATTTTCAGACAATTAGAACAGCAAAATCCAAATCTAACACAAAACCAAGTTCATGCATGGTGGACTTATTTTTTAAGAAAAGAGTACATTCATGATGATAATCAATTAAGTTCTATAAAAATATTAATAGAAGAAAACGAATGTAAGGTTATTTTAAGCAACAATCAGAATATTCAATATTTGGGTTTTACAACACCATTTTTTGAATTATTAAAAAACAATGAAGAAATAGTCACAGATGCTACATATAAAACAAATGCTTTAGGATATGAATTATATTCAGTCATTGGTCACTATAATGGTTCTGGATTTGCATTTGCATATTTGTTTATCGAGGGGTCTAAAAAAAATGATGGTGCATGAATAGATATCTTAACTTTATTTTTTCAATCCTTATTTAATCTGGGATTAAATAATATCTGTTTTTTTTTAACAGATATGGATTTTGCGCAGGTATCAGCTGTACTAAGAACTTGGTCAAATGTCAAAATTCAATTTTGTTTTTGGCATCTGAAGAAAGCACTTAATAAACATCTTGCTGACAACACATATCCCAAAACAATTAACTATAGTTCGTCTTTAGCATATCAAACATTTAAATTTATCAGCATTGAATTTTATCCAACAATGCCATCACAATTAAATTTAGTATAAAAAAAAACTTTTGCTTTTGTCCTAAAGAGTTGCACTCTAATATTATAAGCATGATAGAAACTCATATGCACCTTCATCCATCAATTCCAAATGCTAGTGGGTTTTATTTGTCAGCAAGTAAAATTTGGGAACAATCAACAAAAGAAATTTATGAATTCTGTGTTAATTAAGATTTAAGACTCCTTTGGACTTATTTGTGGGAACACTGGTATCGTAAAGAAATCTGGAATCTGTGGGCCCGTTCTATATATAGCAAAATTTGCATATTTCATACTACTATGTTGTGTAAATCACACTGGAAAGTTCTTAAGTGAGATTTTTTACCAAAATTTTTTAGACCATGACTTGATTTATTAACATATATTATTGTTACTCGCTTAATTCCACATCATGTACAGCAATATAATAAATATTACTATAAACATGAGATGCCTTCTTGGAGAAAGGATCTAAAAAAGGAGTAGATTATGTTGAATAAGAAGAAAATTAATAATAATTATGTAACTGATGTCGAAAAGTGAATTTGTGGATGTGTCAGATTTTTGACTAATCGATTTTTTTTGTGTAAACACTTAATTCAAACATCACAATTTACAATTAATATATCATTTTTTAAAAATGTTCAACAACAAGGAATTTATCCTTTTTTATTTTTACCATCACAACATGATGTTCAACAAGTCGAATCTTCGATTATGCAATTAATGTATTCTAATACAGGTAAATCTAATTATTATTATTAATATATAGTATGATACTC